CAGAAAGCATTTCTGCAGAATCTGCATTTTACGAAGGCCATTTCCATATTGGTTATGAGAGTGAGAGAAAGGATACATTCATATCATATCGTGGTTGGAACAAGGGTGTTGCATTTGTGAACAACTTCAACATCGGAAGATTTTTGCCGGTACAAACCTGAGAATTCTGTTCTGCAAATTGTTTAAGAATTCCAGACATTATTTTCAATCCATAATATATGTGTTTGCTCATTAGAGCTGAAATTGAATTGTTCTTTTTTGGAGTTGCTCTAAGGAACTAACATACGCAATATTATGTTTGTTTTCTTCAGGTAAATAGGTTCACTATCGATTTGGTTACGGATCCGGATTTCACGTGCGGTCCAAAACAGTAAAAAGGGTTGCACGTGGTGTACATTCTTCATACTCTTGCTTCTCAGCTGCTATCAGAAGAATGCAAGCGCCCCCTTCATCGTTCTGCGATTTCCAAATCACACCATCGGTGATTGGCCTGTGTATTTGCAACCACAGCACGTTCATGGCACACCGTGCAGAGCTTTGTATTTTCTGAAAGGGAATGGATTCAAACTTGCGTTTGCGCTATATATACAGTATAGCCTATATTTGCTTGTGGTTTGGAAAATTGGAATTACTCAATCCATCCCAAATTGTAAGACGTTTGACTTTTTTGACACCAAGTTTGACCACTCGTCTTATTCAAAAATTTATGTAAAATATCACTTCTTTCGTCGTGGTTTGGTTTATTAATAAAAATTCTTCAAGAATAACTTAAATTTGACTATATTTGCACAAATTTTTTGAATAAGATGAATAGTCAAACTTAGGGTAAAAAAAAGTCAAACGTCTTCCAATTTGGGATGGAGGGAGTACGTTCGAAGAACTCTGGAGTAGTAGTAACTCAGAAGATAGTGTCAGGCCCAACAAAGCCCAAGGATCAAAGCCCACACACCACTTCCATCGGCCCAGCCTATTGCGCAATGGGACTCAGGGCCTTATTGCTTGATGACCAAATTTTGTTTAACAAATTATGGCAAACCTTAACACTGTTCTTGGCAAATCAATTTTTTTTGGCAGCGATTTGATTTGCTACCAAAGTTTGTCAACATCTTACATTTGGGCGGCAAACATTTTTACCCAACTTTATTGAAAAAAATCTTTGGTATAAGGTATATAAATTTTGTTTTCCAAATCTTTGGTATAAGGTATATAATTTTTTGTAACAAACGAAGCAGGCCCTCTCTCCACAGCAACGTGTCAACGTGACACCACACCAAACACAAATAAGCACACCAAACACAAATAAGAGAAATAGTTCATTTTAATAAAAGAAAAAGAAATCAAATAAACAAAAGAGATAACAAAGGAAAACAAGATAAAAAATCAAAAAAGACAAATAAGAAAAGAAAAGAGAAAATAAATAAGCATGAAAAGAGAACTAAAAAGAATAGAATAAGAGAATAAAAAAAAAAAAGGATAAGAAAAAAGTGACGAGTGTTAAGGTTTGTGTTGCCTCTGCGACAACAGTGAGCACTGTATCTACCCGTTTAAATTCATGGACTAAAGTTTAGGTGTGTCACATTGGGCGTCACATCGAGTGTTCGGATAGTAATAATAAAACAAATTATAGAAGTTCTCAGTAATCCACGAGATGAATTTATTAAGCGTAATTAATCCGGCATTAGCACATGTTACTGTAGCACCACATTGTCAAATCATGGACTAATTAGGCTTAAAATTTGTCTCGCAAACTAGTCTTAATATGTGCATTTAGTTTCGTAATTAGTCTATATTTAATATTTCATGCATATGCCCAAACATTCGATGTGATAGGGATAAAAAACAAACACATCCCTAGGCCTTCCACACTAGCTACTTGAGCTTGTGTGCATGTCAGCTCAGCTTGGTGCTATCAGCTTTTGCATAATCCAACGCGGACGATGACACAATGGCTTGGCGCTATCGACTTTTGCATAATCGGACGCGGACGATGACACGATGGCATGGACGGACTAGCAACAGAGTTGACACAAAAACATAAATGGCGTGGCTAGCGTCCGGATGTCCGGAGAGACACGCACGTCCAGACGCACGCGCAGCCCGTCCCGTCCGCCTTCGGCCCGGCCGTGAGTGCACTCCGTCCCTGTCTCTGTACCCGCCAGTCCTTCCCCTAGCCCCTCCTTTCTCTCCGACTCTCCGCACGGGTGACACTCGAGAACCAGATGAGAGGCCGAGGATGAGCACGTCCCCAGCGCTCCCCCGACATGCAACACCCCCGTCCACCAGCCCCCAACGCCCCCGTCCGCATGGCCCCCCGAGTCAACCCACTGTGAACAACGTAAAACACTTGCAACATAAGACGACAGATGAAACATTTGGAACATGTATTTGCAACATGTGTGTGTGAACACATGAAACATCCAAATAAAACACTTACAACTTGCAATGTGAAACCACTTGCTGCAACATAAGACTGAAACAGCTAAAAACATTTGGAACATACTGTTCCAAAATATGTGTGAACCATATGCAACATCGAGATAAAAAACGACTACAATATATGTCTAGAAAATAGATGAAACATTTTCAACAAATGCTTACAACATGCCTCTGAAACACTTGCATGATATGCAACATATGCAACATCCCCCGATCTACCTTTGCGACATCAAGATGAAACAATTGCAACATATATCTGAAACGTCTGAAACACTTGAAACATACATATGCAACATAGGGGAGGGAAGGCCAGGCCGGTCGACTTTGGTCGTTGGGGTGGGAGTCGGTATAAATGTCCATGCAGCATGCACAAGCACGGACGAAGCACGACGGCACGGCCGCACGCACGGTTTTTGACTCGACCATGCACAAGGTCGTGCTGGCATGCACCCACTGCGGCATATGGCATGGCATGGCCCGCATTTTTGTGGCAGGCCCGGTGGTGTGCCCGGTAACAACCATGGCTTGGCCTATTAAGAGCCCAAGTCTTGTGCACACTATAACCCTAACTATCCCAATTCCCCCCTCTCCCCCTGCGCCGCTCGACTCCTGCTCAAGTCGCGAATCACGACTCGCACCACGTCACGCCGCTTTCCTCCCGCGCTCCTCCCCTCACTCCCTCACCCACGACTCCCCGTCGCACGCCACTAGTTCTTCTCCATCCCCTCTAGCTCGCGACGCCACGCGGCGCTACCTCCTCGCTCACAGCGCCGCCGCCGACGGCCGACACCGAAGCGCGGACGCCGACGTCCCCTCCCTCTCCTCGAGCGACACCGTTGGGAACCGGCCTCGATCATCGCGGGAACGAGCGCGCCGGCCCCGAGCTCCGCCCCAACGCCAGATCCGTTGTCAACAGCCCCAAGGGCAAGCTCGCCGGCGGCACTACCATCTCCGGCTGGCGGCTGCTCGTGGCCTCGCGCTTTCTTCCTTTCCCCCTCTCTCTGGCTGCTTGCACTTCCTCATGGGCCCCGGGCTGTCCCGACACGCTGGACTTGTCGTGCTTCTCGGCCGGCCCGACCCGAAAAATGACCCAGCAGGTCGTGTCTGGGCCGTAGGTTAGGCACGATGCCCGCCTCGGCCACGGCCCGAGAGGCACGACGTGTCGTGTCGGCCCGAACCCCATCAAGCCATGCCTGGCATGGGCCGGGCCAACCCGTTGGCCATCTATAGGAGTCGGCGGCGAGCCACGGCGCGCGCGCCACCTACACCGGCCACGCTCGTGGGTTCCCTTGGCTCGGTCAGGGAAAACCTGAGGCGCCTGGCACGTGCGCCCCATTGGCCATGGCAGGGTCAACGGCACACCCGGCGGCGATGGGCGACGGACGGACAGCGAGGGAGCGAGCGACGCAGTGACTGGGACGCATGTGAGCGGCGCAGGGAGCGAGGGCGTGTGGCGCGGCCGGCGTGGGGGAAGGGCACGACACAGCCCAACGAGCGCATGGTGGGGGAAGGGGGCGGATGGATGAGCGGCCACACTGCTTCGGCCGTAGGGCGGATAAACATATGGGAGTGGGCACTGGCCGATAAGCATACGAGGAAGTGGGAATTTTTGTTTTTTGTTTATGAGATGAGAGAGATGGGGCCTGCTCTCTGCGGAGCCACGTTCTAACAGGAGTCACAGACGGATGCCCGTTTTAGAATATTATCGAAACATAAAACATTATTGCCGGGCCGCTAGAAAAAAAAAACAGGGCTCAATAAAAAGGTACGCCGCAGAGGAGACCGCTCGGCACAGTGCTCCGGTCTGAGCGCTCGGACCGGAAAGATTGTGCCTCGCTCCACAGCAACGTGACACCACACCAAACACCACCACAACTTCACAAGGCACTCCATTTCCAAACCCAATCACATGCTTAGCAACGCTCGAAAACCCGATCAAATCTCATGAATTATGTAACTAAAATTCTGAAGTCCATGTATGATGGGAGTTGAACATGCAGATTCCAGTGTCTTTTTTTTTGCGACAGCAGATTCCAATGTCATGCTAATTACTCTATAACATGCCATAATAAACGACACAACCACGGCCGAAAGGAACAGATCGGTTAGGAATTCAGTGACCAGAGGAACCCTCGCACGGGCCAGATCTGCCGGCACACACGATCGAACGGTGGCCCGCGGGCATACCAGGTCAGCGTGATCTCAGCATGGCCCACATCTTTGTCCAGCAGTGAGCACTACCATCAGTCCATCACTCCCGTCGGCACCAGGGTCAAACCACCGGCGCCACCGGCGCCCGCAGCTGTGCACGAGGTCTCCTCACCCGACGCCCGCTGCGTCCGGACCCAGCTCGGCAACTCGCCCCTCCTCCTCCCGCTGCCGGCTGCCGCCCTCGCGCTTGGCCCCGTTCTCACGGTCACGGGGGCGTCGATCAGAAGGGCGTCCTGCTCACGGCGTCCCCCGACGCGTGGCTCGTAAGGCACGCTTCCCGCGGTACAAGTGCGACCCACGTCGCTGGCGGAGAGGAACCTAGCAGCGGGAGCTCAACGAGTTCAGGGACAGGGATGGCCTCCGGTGGAACCTTCCGGAACCTTCTCCTGGTGCTCCCCCTCTGCCTCGCGCTCGCCTCGTTGGTACGTATGCTCAATTGCTCGTCGCGCTTTTCGGTGCCGTCCTGGGGTGCAATGGTCCGGCGATTCCATGTCGAGGCCCTGCTGAATTGGTGGCACTGCTTCGTTGTGTCGGTGGCTGTGGCCCGCGGTGCCCCTGGATGGTTGGGTATTAGGTTGGTGGCGTGGCGTCGAGGAGGTTCTGGATCGAGAACGACACTTTTAGGAAGGATGGGGCACCGTTCCAGATCGTCGGCGGCGACGTCCATTATTTCCGCATTGTTCCTGAGGTGAGATTTTCATTTTGTGCTTCTCTAGAGGAGTAATATGTAGTTGAGTGACTTGAGTCTTAGTGAGGTTGCCATTTGATAGACTGGTGTTGAACCAATTTATTTCTGCTTGAACTGGAGTGAACCCATCTAGGTCAGAAGCACTGTTAGTACAAAGAGGAGTTTCAGCAACTAAAACATTTCAGTGCTAAGTACCACACATGCATATGTGCAATTGGTCCTAGTTGTTTGGAGTTTGAATTCCAATTGTTCTACTTACACTTTGTTTTTTTTCCAGTAATATTGTTGAAGACGCCAACTTCCAAAATGTTGATAATACTAACTACCAGAATACTATACATCTTTGCCTCATATATTTAGTATTCTATGATATGCCTAGTTTTTTTTTTTTTTTTTTTTTTGACAGACACCAACATGTAAAGTGTTTAAAGAATCCTCTAGAAATGACATTATTTCCTTGATATGGAAATTAAAAAGTGCACATAACTATGTAATTGACCTTTATCAGCTCGGGCCAACATGTTCTATATATCTTTATTATGATATCATGACCTTCTGCAATGCACTGGTGCTTGCAGTATTGGAAGGATCGCCTTTTAAGAGCAAAAGCATTAGGCTTGAACACAATTCAAACATATGTACCTTGGAATTTGCATGAGCCAGAACCACAGAGCTGGGAATTCAAGGGCTTCGCGGATATTGAATCATATCTGAGACTTGCTCAAGAACTAGAAATGCTGGTCATGCTTCGTATAGGTCCATACATTTGTGGAGGTAAGTTGACATTCGTATATGTTCAGCATGCCAATGGCTGAAGATATAGTTGTATATTTATACTGCATTGAACAAATAGAATTGTTATTGCTGCAGAGGATTAATAACATTATAATGTCAAATGGTCATTACGAAAATCAGAAGAGTCACTTTTCTTGGTTTTCAATAGTACATAAAAGATAGATCATTGAATCTGTGGACGAAGAAATAAAGCTTTCCTCTGCTTATTTGTAAAAGGCGTGAGCGTGACTCAGTTTTACATTTTGATACCATGTAGCTGTCCCAAACGTGATGAAGTAATGTCATGATTATCGTTTTCAAATTTGATTGGGTTGTGATGCTGCATGTGCTTGGATTAAAGCTTATGATTTGTAATGTGTCCACTGCAGAATGGGATCTAGGAGGTTTTCCACCTTGGTTGCTCACCATAGAACCAGCCCTTAAACTGCGATCATCAGATTCGTCCTATCTTTCCTTGGTACTCTTATCAAAGCATGATAAATCTTTGGGTATATAGCACTGGTTTTAGTTGTTTCTGGAGATATTTTGACCAACATTACGATGTTTTCAAGGTGGAGAGATGGTGGGGAGTACTACTTCCGAAAGTGGCACCATTATTATACAATAATGGAGGTCCAGTTATTATGGTTCAGGCAAGTTCATGAGAGTTTAAGTTGCTTTACTACTTCCAGTTCATTTTCATTTCTAGTGTATGTAGCTTTTGTATATATGGAAGAGCCTCATTCTATAGCATGTTTGGCAGATTGAAAATGAATTTGGTTCTTTTGGAGACGATAAGAATTACCTTCATTACCTTGTTCAACTGGCCAGAAGATATCTTGGAAACGACATTATTCTGTACACAGTTCTCTCTGCTCACACTTTTAGCTATACAAATCAGTGCAGTTTTCTTTTCAGCATTTGCAGTTATGTCCATTTTGTATGGCTTTAGAAGTTATGATATAGCAATTCTAGGAGTGATTATGTACGGGATGATAGAGGTTTGGTACTTGTTGTTTTGTATCCTTATGAAATTCTACAGATGTTTACTGCACAAATCTTATTTATAAGCCAATGTGTGGGGTCGATAGTGGTGATGCTATAAGAATTTGGCTGAAATGCTACTGCCTACATGCTAGTCAGTCAATATTAGGAAATGCGCGAAAGGGATTGAATTCAATGGTCTTGACAGTAAGCGGAGATGCGCGAAAGGGATTGAATTCCCTCATCATCCTAGGCGCCTGGACCATCTGGAAGCATCGAAATGACTGTGTCTTCAATGGAGCTACCCCTAGACTGTCTATGGCTTTGAACCTGGCTCGGGAGGAAGCCCTTTTATGGTCTATAGCTGGTGCTAAGGGACTGTCCCTGCACACAGCTCAGCATGATGGTTAGAGGGTCTTTGGTCAGGTCGTTCGTCTCTGTCATAGGCGATTAGTTTCAGTCAGTAAGCGGGTGTGTGTGTGTGTTTGGGTCTCTGTATGACTCCTTTTCTCTACTATTAATACAATGATACGCAGTTCTCCTGCGTATTCGAGAAAAAATATTAGGAAATTGGGAATATTGAACTGTTAGATTTCTCAAATAGTATATAAAAAGTGTTTTGATATAACTTCAAATGTTTGTCACACACTACATGCAACAATACAATAGCATCTTCGATTGTAAAAAATGGACCCAATACAATAGCATCACAATGTGACAAAAAGAAAGAAAGAGGAAAAATGAGTCCAGACTTTTTGAGAGTTCTGCTAGCTTGAAGTGTTTCCTAGATGATTTCATCCGATTAATGTTTCATATGATTTGGTTCTAATTACCAAAGTCGTGATCATGTGTACTCTTAATTCCTCTTTCAGTTATACAACTGATGGGGGCGCCATGGGTAATTTAAAGAATGGATCAATTCCTCAAGATGATGTTTTCGCTGGTAAAAATATGATAACTGAGCTGTGCAGTGATGTAGATTATTTGTTGCCTTCGGTCAATAATTATGTTTTCTTAATATGCTGACATGCCTAACTTTCTATATTTCCAAACTTATATTTTACCTGATTTTCATCAGTTAATCACTTTAGCTAATAATAGAAGGGCAGGCCTGGTGTAGTGGTGAGCGCTGTCTCACTGAGTCACCAGGTCACGGGTTCAAAGCAGCCTCTCCGCAGATTTTGCGGGGGGAAGGCTTGCCTCGGTTTTTCCCTTCCCTAGACTCCCACTCATGTGGGAGCCTCCGGCACTGGGTCTGCCATTTTTTTTAATCACTTTAGCTAATAATAATATGGCTGATGTGCAGCTGTTGATTTTGAAACTGGATCCAATCCATGGCCCATATTCAGATTACAGAAGAAATACAACTTGCCAGGAAAATCAGCCCCTTTAAGTTCGTAAGTTGGCTACAATACACATGATGTCAAATATTCTCTGTCGTGTATTTTTTGTATGTGACTTTACCTAATGTTGGCACCTCTTACTTTTCAGGGAATTTTATACTGGATGGTTAACACACTGGGGTGAAAGAATCGCAACAACAGATGCTACAAGTACAGCTAAAGCCCTTAAAACCATTTTGTGCCACAATGGTTCTGCTGTACTTTATGTCTGTCACTGGAGCCCATTCATCAATGCATTGCATTTGCAGTCTAGGTCTATTAATTCTATTTCTTCATGAGGTTGTGCAGATGGCTCATGGTGGGACCAATTTTGGATTTTATAATGGTGCAAATACTGGTCAAGATGAATCTGATTACAAGCCAGACCTCACTTCTTATGACTATGCAAGTATCACTCCAAATAGTTCATTTCATTTATTGATCCCTTTTTGCATGTCAACTTATTTACGTGACCTCTTTACTGGGCAGGATGCACCAATTAAGGAGCATGGAGATGTGCATAATGCAAAATACAAAGGCATGCTGTTTTTTTTTTTCAAACACGCAGAAGAGCTGCACATCTTTATATTATGGAGAGAAGAAATAACGAGCCCCTACAAACAACCTCCCTGTCTCAACTATGAGACAAGGAAGCTTTGTAGTACATCACAAGTCAAAAAAGCCTGAAACAGAAAAGAAAAAACTCCCTGACCCCGACCTTTTTTTCGTACATGCAGGAGAGCTGCGTATCTTTATATTAAGAAGAAAAAAGGGGCAAGAACCCTTACAACACACACCCAAGCACACTTGGTTTCTATGCAAACATACGCTCGTTTTTTATACAACAAAAACAACCTCGACCTCAACTAAAGAAAACCAGTTCTGTGATGCATCCAATTTAGATATTCACTTACATGGAACGATTTTTTTTTTCAGCTCACTTTGTCTCAGCCTGCGAAATTCAGCATGAGATAAAAATGGAATACTCAATGGTTTTTTATTTGCAGATCCTAACCTGTGCATAGTGTGTGCCAATGTAGATTAGTGGATGTAGGAACTACTTCATTTGAATCTCTGGCAAATTCCCAAAAAGAACTTTATATGCATATAACTTCTTTTTAAGCACTGTTTTATTTCTATATTTTGATTTCTCATTACAATTATCAAGCAGCACTGAGAAGAGTAATACATGAATGTACTGGGACTCCTCTTCATCCACTTCCTTCTGACATTGAAAAAGCAAGTTACGGGCTTGTGAAATTACAAAAGGTTGCTTCTCTGTTTGATATCATTGATAATATCAGTGATCCACTGAAAGTTTCTGTTTCGGAGCATCCACTTTATATGGAACAGATAGGCCAGGTATCAACAAATGTAATTATATGTGTATTTCCGTTATTGTTACTGAACTTATCATTTAAGTTTATGTTTCATGTATCTGTCATGGGGTTTATTTTGTCAGATGTTTGGATTTCTCTTGTACATGTCAGAATACGAAGGGAAACTCCCATCAAGCATCCTGTCAATTCCAAAGGTTGTGGCTTTCATATTCATTTTGTTGGCATGAAAGAAAGATCATCTCTTCTAAGATGTGAATTCTGTGTTGCTGCAGGTACATGACAGAGCTCAGGTGTTTGTGTCTTGCTCAGTTGATGGTTTCAGAAACCTAAGATATGGTGGTGTAATTGAAAGATGGTCTAATAAAACACTAGAGATACCGAACTTAAGATGTTCATCTACTACCAGCCTATATATCCTGGTAATCTTTCTTGCATTTTCTTCAGAACTTTCTTTCTAGCGTTGTAGTACTATTGTTAATTGACTCGAGTTTTAGTGTTACGCCTTAAAATGAATTCTTTTTTCATTCCTCAAACATCAACTAAAAAAAGAACAGAGGTTACGTTTCTCCAAGTTTCCTTTTCAACCTTAAATTATTCTTACAATCGCACTTCAAGAAAAATTCTTACAATCTTAATGGTTTGTTGCTTACCATATCTGTGTTTCATCTGCAGGTAGAAAATATGGGTCGTGTAAATTATGGGCCATATATTTTTGACCGGAAGGTAAGTACCACATTGCCTCTCGTTAGCTGCAGCGTCTGCATGGACCATGGTTATAGGCTTCTATTGCTGATCAGTGACCAGTTCTGAAATACAGGGAATACTATCTCCTATTCAAATAGATGGCATTACTATCCGTCACTGGAAAATGTATCCACTTGCACTCAATTCACTGGACAACCTTCCAAAACTTCAACTAATCACTCAAATACCTTATGTTGGAGCCAGTAAAATGTCCATTCATGGAGACTCAAAAAAGAATTTGCAGGAATTGTCATCCTATTCAAATGGTAAGTCTCTACATTCAAACAGTTCTGCAAGCAGTGAAAGGGTCAGACAATTAATTCTCATGCAGTTATAGTATTTGTAAAATAGTGTGGCACAGTTTATGGTCCATCATGGGCTCATGGCATGAGAACAGCTTACCTCTAAGATATACGATATATCTAGATACATAATAAAAGTTGTGTATCTAGAAAGGCCAAAACGACCTATAAATTGGAACGGAGGGAGTACTGATCTGGAGCAAGATATAACTATATATGTGTCATATGTAGTTCCTAGGTGGGTTACTGTAACACGTGGGGTTCATTCTTATCTTCTGGAATTCCTTATATTCTTTTTAGCTGAGCTACACATGGATTGAACAACTAACTGAATTGTACCTTTTCTTTCATAATTTTTTAATCAACATGTTTCTGTGTCTGGTTTCTTCTTGGATGTCATATCTACTTTATGTTTTGAGAAACATGCTGCTTTGAAACTCAATATCCTTGCATTATCTTATAACAGGAAGCATTTCTGCACTACCTGCGTTTTATGAAGGCCATTTCCATATTGACCATGAGAGTGAGATAAAGGATACATTCATATCATTTCGTGGTTGGAACAAGGGTGTTGCTTTTGTGAACAACTTCAACATCGGAAGATTTTGGCCGGTACAATCCTGAGAGTTTTGTTCTGCACATTGTTTATGAAGTCTAATTTCAATAAATAATCTATGTGTTTGCTCATTAGAGCTGAAATTGATTTTTTTTCCAGGCACGCGGACCACAATGTGCCCTTTATGTTCCAGCTCCTATCCTCAAATCTGGAGACAACATTGTTGTACGTAGTTTATCTCTCCTTATAACGTTAATGCGCTGTCTGGTTATGATACTTTTCGGCTTTTACTGTACATTTTTGTCAAAATTATAGAGAAATAGTATTAATCCGCCTTTCTATGCAGAGAAAGGTTTTCTTTAACAAAAATCCAGCGTAGCTGGATCTGGTATTTTCTTGTTCTAATCCATACTGTCAAAATGAAAGGAGGACAAGAAACGCTCAGCAAAATTTAGGAACCTATGTTAACGCCTTAGCAGATTTATTTTCAGATGATTACTTATCTTTAGGTGTTGAGTAGGTGATGATTGATGAACGAACTAACATACGCAACATTATCTTTGTTTTTCTTCAGGTAATCTTTGAACTGCATGATCCAAATCCTGAGCTCACTATCGATTTTGTTACGGATCCGGATTTCACTTGCGGTCCGAACCAGTAAAAGGGTTGCATGTGACTGCCACGTGGTGTACATACTACGTAGTACAGTGCAGTGCAGTGGTTTCCTTCCTCTTGCTTCTCAACGTTGGTGCTGCTATCAGAAGATGCAAGCGCCCTTCATCATTCTGCGATGTCAATGTCTAAATCACACCATGTCACCATGGCTAATGATCTCCCTGTATGTTTGCAACCACAGAACGTTAATGCCCCACCGTGCCGCCGAGCTTTGCATTTTCGGAAATGGTGTGGATCCAAATTTGTGTCTGTGCTATATATACTTGTGGTTTGGATTACGTTTGAAGAGCTCTGGAGAAGTAGTAACTCGCGAGATAGTGTCAGGCCCAACCAACAAAGCACAAGGACCAAAGCCCACACACGCTTCCATCAGCCCATCCTAACGCTCAACGGGAGTCCGGGCCTTATTGCTTGATGTCTAAAATTTATCAGCGATCTCTTTTTTTTCTCGGTCACACAAAAAGTTTGCGCATATTTGTATTAAGATAGAGAAAATATTGGTTACAATATGCCTTATCGACGCCCTAGGATCAATAAATTTATCAGCGATTTGAGTCTCTACAAAAGTTTGTCAACATCTTTCATTCGGGTGGCAAACATTTTTACCCAACTTTACTAACGTTTGCTTTCCAAATCTTTGATATATTTTTGGTAACAAACGAAGCAGGCCCTCGCTCCACAGCAACGTATCAACGTGACACCACACCAAACACCATCACAAACTTCACAAGGCACTCCCATTTCCAAGCCCGCCCCCACCTCGCGCGGCGGCCGCCGGCGCCTCCACGTCTCCGCGCTCCATGCCGTGCACGGCTGGGCGTCCCGGACCCGGACCCCAGCACGGCAGCACCCAACCAACCTTTCTTTCCGCCGAACCGAACGAACCACCGATCCCTCGGAGTCTCCTTCATTCTTGATGAAATGAAAGGCAAGTGCGGACGGAGACGGACAAAGCAGCCGGTCACACCAAGTCGCCGGGTCCCTCCAGTGGCCTCCCGGGCATATGTTTCGCATGCTGCTAGCTTCTTCCCGGCTGCCCTGCTGTCTGGTCCCTGAAGCGTTCCGGTGAACGACCCCGCCGAACTTGTGCTCCAGAAAGGCCGAGCTAGCTATGTGCTGCATGCCTTGGACAAGGTACGTGGTGTACGAGAACTACGCCCTTGTTTAGTACGGTATCTGTCACGTCGAATGTCTGTGGTCCGTATATGGATCATTAAATGTAGATGAAAAGAAAAACTAATTGCATAGTTTAATGGGAAATTGTGAGACGAACCTAATTAGTCCATATTTAAACACTATTTACCAAATAAAAACGAATATACTACAGTAGCCCTAAAATCCAAATTTCTTCGACTAAACAAGGGCTACGTGTGCCCACAGATGCAGAAAAAGATGCCAGCGTTGGCACCTGGCAGCTCCGTTCACACGCACAGCACAAAAAGGTAGTCCAGGGACACTTGGGCCAATGGCGGGGCGCCACGGCGAGGGGCACGTAACAATCGGCGACGGCGACGGCGACTGGGCTCCTGCAGATGCATATCCCCAGCACGCCAGCCGGCAGGCAGGCAGGCTTCCCAGGGCCTTGTTTACATTACATCAAAATTCCAAGATCTTTTCTTTATAATTAAACCGGCTTTGTTGTAAATCACGGCATCTAATTTTCTTTTCTTTTTTAAAAAAAAAATCTCTCTTTTCTTTCTGTCTGTTTTTTTTCTTTTCTTTTTTTTAAGGAAAAAATCTCTCTCTTTGCATCTTTGGCGACGAATTTCTCATCTCGTCTCGCTTTTGGAGAGTCCCGAGTAGAGCACGTAATTTGCTGTCTTCCTTCACACTAACGAAAAGGAAAGCTGCCCCTATGTTACTCCCTCGTAAAAAAAAATACAAGTCTAGATTCTCAAGAACAGGTTAGTGGAGGTGAAAAATAACGTATGTGTCCTAGATACCTATCCACTTTGAGCCTACAGTCACATCATTTTTAAGGAGAGAGACGCTAGTCCAGTTGGTCTAGCGCGCCTAGGCACCCTGTCGGCTACTGATCGATCCTCTTCAGGGGCGATTTATGCTGGCCAGAGGGGAAAAAATCATCTCGCTTGCCCAGCATTTTTCAAAGCATAGATTGCGGATCGGCCCACTTATAGAGTTACGGGTCCCTGTGTGCGGATGGGGTAGGGATTTGAGGTTTTTTCTCGACCATGCGTGAGAGGTCTCCTTCTTAAAGCGCAAAGCTCAGGGCTGTCTAGCCATCCGAGGGTCGAGTTTTTTTTTAAGGAGAGAGAAGTTGAATGGGAGGAGTGCAGGAGATGCATAGGGAGCGCAGTAGATGGAGTTAAAGGATACAATTATAGGTTAACTTTCTTAAATTTCACTAAATTTATAAATATATGGTTAATTAATATTTATAATTTAAAATAGGTATACTATAAAAATACATTGAGTACATTAATCAATATAAATGATATTTATTATGTATTTAGTTTTTTCTATAAATTTAATTAAAATAAAAACTGTATGGAAAACAGCAAGCAGAGTTAGGAGCACATTTTTGTTGAGAACGAGGGACACATCCAGCCGCAGACAAGGACGCACGGCATGATGATTGATGGGCATCCTTCCTTCCTTCCTTTCCTGCTGGAACGAACGGGCGCCAAGTGTCCAATGGATGGGTCTACCCATGGCGTGGCACCTGACAAGTCATCATCATCGGGCGTGAGGTGATCGGTCGGTACTCGTCAATCATGCGCCTGGTCCAGCCTTGTCGGACCCCGAACCCGACCCCCCGGAGTCCGGAGAAACCGCCACCCACCCCGACCCCGGCCGCGTCACCGGCTGGCTCACCGCGCTGCCGCCGCCGCCCGGCTGTGCGTGCGTCGGAGACTCAGGGAGTCCCAGTCGCCGTGGGCTCGGTCTCGGTCGTCGTCCGAGCTCATCTCCTCATCTCCCGACCGCGCGCCGCCTGGTGGTGCGAACGCTCACGTGCCGTCCTGGGTTTCGGATCTGGATCGGATCGGATCGCCCGGGGTAACGCACGCACGCACGCACGCATCCTCCTCCTCGGCACTGTAGCGTACGTGGCAACCTCCCTGTCGCACAACAGCGTACATTCTCCAGAACCCCAAAAAAAACCCCGTCGAGGAGGGAGGCCGTTTTCAGCTAGTACAGGAAAGTAAAGGTAAAGCGCATACTGCTGTATATGGAATGGATAGCAAGCACTACGAGACGAGGCCTACTTCTGGATCCCTCGATCGGTTGGCGACGAGACGAGACGACCCGGCCGGCACGACGAACCTACCAGCTCAAACCGCTCCATCCTCCTTCCCCCCCTCTTTTCCTGCTCGCATCGCACGGCCCCCTTTTTCGTGTACCCACATGTATGTACAAGAATAGTAACTGTGTATACGTAGGCGTCGCTGTCGGCGCCCGTGACGGGGTCGATCGAGCATCAGCTACGATGATCCCGACGTCCGTCCGGTACAGTAATGCGAGCGAGCGCTATCCGTTCCGGCCGGCAGTGGCGATACTACTAGCTGGCGTGTCACGGCGTGGGGCGATCGGCGCGTCGCACACGGCAGTCGCCGCCGGCCCGCCGGCGTAAAGCACAGGCGAGCGATCGCGGTCGTTCGTCTGATCGTCTCTCTCTCTTCGGAAAGAAAAGGCACGCTTTTCTCGCGTCCGACGTGGACAAGTGGCGGGCTCGGATTGGGTCGCTGAGGGAGCCGTGGGTCCCGGACGCCTTGAAAGATGAGAGGTGGGGGCTCCGTCTCCGACCTGAGCGGACGCAACGTGTCAGGCGGAGGGGCGATGGTCGTAGAAGGGCGAAAGGGATCGGGATGGTCGGATCGGATGGGGGCTAGGGGCTAGGCGGCACCACAGGGGTTTACCACGCGCGGACGCATGCGTTGGCTGGTCCCTGGCTCGTGTGTCATGAAAAGAAAGGAATTCCGATTGTGCCCTTAATATTCATTCAATCAAGGTTGTTTAGAACTTTGGATGGCACGCTTCCGGCTGATATTTTTCACTCATGATGTCTTTCAGATCAACTCAGACAAAACGAATAGGGCATTGGTGACACTTCTTAATCCCTGATGTCTTAACGGTATGCTCACAAATCCTGGCTTATGTTGATACTTATATGCTAAAATGTTGAGAGAGAAAAACACTGTTCCATGGCTGAAAAATAGTTAAAAGCGAATTCCTTTTGATAACATTAAAATTTATATTCAATGAAAATTCTATAGAAAAATACATTAAAATTTATAACATTAAATAGGTATATTCAATGAAGAATATAATAATAATATTGTTTATATAGTACAATGAATTTTGATATTTTTATATAAACTAAATCAAATTTAAGATGCTTTCACTCAAAACATATTAGAATTTATTATGGTACGAAATAGATACTGTATATTCAATGAAGAATTGTTTAGTACCATAAATATTGATACCTTTTATAGAAAGTAAGTCAATTTTTTCACTCGGTACTATATTGGAATAGACAACAATTTTTACTCATGGGCTTTGGGAGGGATAACACGACAAATGCTACGTGTCGCCCTATGGCGAGAGGTGTCTTGAGATCAACGTCCTTGGGAGATATCTTGTGACCTCTAAATGTCCTTGTGGACTTCGGGACAAAGACACGATGTTGGTAAAAGACATGATTTTGCAAAAAAAATCTAGGCAGGAAAGAACTTAGGACGCATTTAGATTCTGCCCCTAGACCTCCGGGCAAATTTCGGCAACTGGCCAAAATACGAGCGGTGAATTTTAGCTTCTGATGGAACGATGGTAGTTTCACAGCTGCCTTATCTACCTATCCTATCACTTTTTTCTAAAGCCAACATCTCGATTAGCTCGAGCTGTACTGGCTCTAATAATCTATATATGGTTTGTCCCATAAATCTCTATATTAATTAATATCAAATGGGAGGAAGATTTCTTGTCCTACATCACTCACAATAGCCCGAGGAGGATATAATCCTATATGAAAGTCCATGAAATTCTTCCATCTAAACGTAGCCAAAGCTTAACTACTCCTATATGATAGTAGTTGCAATACGGTAGGTTTAAAGTCTAGATATTCCTAAGTAATACTCACTCAGGCTCCGTTCGGTTAGAGCAAATCCGGCCTTGAAAACATTCCGGCCGTCGAAGGCGTATATAAATTTTAGTAACGAATCCGGCCGGGAATGGTTCCTGGGGTTCGTTCCCCAGGAAGCGAACGGGGCCTCAAGGAAATTCTTGATGTTGCGGCATTAGATATATGATATGACTTGTATAAATATGACAACGAAATAAACACCATAATGGAATAAGCTAACTCGTGCTTCGCTATTAAACTTGTCAAGCGAAAAACATAAGCGAGCGGAATGAAAAGGACAATATATAATGATCCATAATTCCATATGCAGCTTAGCTCACATATCAAATATTCATTATGAGCGAAGATAGCGCGCAAGATTATTATTAGACTGATATGATATCTGATATATACTCCATAACCCGTAAGTACAAAGCGACAAGTACAATTGGCATTTTACTTGAGCATGCTACGAGTTCAAAGAGTGGTCTGTCAAAAAGAAATGTGTAAAATCCAAAGTACCAATAAAGAACTTACTAAATACTATAGGAACTCCAGAAAATATGTTTATGTTGTATAAATACTCCGTATGTTGCAGATACAAATATCTTATCAAAGCGTAGGTGAGCACCGGGAACACGAAACAGTTCGCTGCACACATGTACAGTGCGTGTCCTACCAGAAAAGTCAGGAAAAATCCGTAAACGCCTGGGCCTTGTTTAGAATCAGGAAAAATCCGTACCCTCTCACATCAAAGTGTCAGGCTTAAATATAGATAAAGATCGAAATCATGCGCGAATCTTTTGGCTTCCAGTTAGTTCGCATCAATAAAGCAAATCAGGACCATAGAGGATTGCAAAAGTTTGCAATCTAAACCACGCCCTAGTAGCATCACGCAGGCAGGACCATAGCAGAGCAGTGCCACTCCTACCGCAGCGCTGACAAACCGGCACGAAGTGGTCACGCACACGCACAGCGACCCACATGCGAGCGAGTGGGAGCGCAACAGGTGTGCCCCGGGGGTGGCGTGAAGGTAGCAGAAACCAGGGGATGAATAGGGATGGCCTGACTAGGAGAGAGAGAGAGAGGAGAGAGGGGGCGCGCACGCGAGTACTAGTAGTACGCGACAAATAATATCAAGCGCCCCGCCACGCGGACCCTCCCCAGCGGCGTGACGAGTCGGGGAGACCTGCCCGCTACGGCGCGGACCCCGGGCCAATCCCCTCCTCCCACCTCGCTTCTTCCCCTTCTTCTCCCTCCTTCCCTCCCCCACCCTTTCTGCTTCTTTCCCCTTCCCCCTCCCCCTCTCTCTCCCCACGCGCGCGCGCACCACCACCCCACCCTCCTCCTCGGCTTACTCATCACCCACCCCACCGAGACTGTAGTCTGTCATACCACGCCGCTCCTCCTACTGTAAGGCCGGCCCGTCCGCCCGCCGCTTCCTCGCGTCTCAGGTGCGTGCCTGGTGGCCGCCTCTCGCGGTGGCGGTGGTTCTCCGGCGCCGCGGTGGGCAGCGGACGAGCGGGTTGGGGACCGGCGGGGGTTTTTGCTGCGATTTCGTGATGGCGGCGGCGGCGGCCATCTGCGAGAAGCTGGATCTCGCTGCCGCCGGCGCCGGCGCCGACGGCAAGGCCGGCGGCAAGAGGAGCGTCTACCTCATGGACTGCGCGCCGGTCTGGGGCTGCGCGTCCACGCGCGGCCGCAGCGCCGAGATGGAGGACGCGTGCGCCGCGGCCCCGCGCTTCGCGGACGTGCCGGTGCGCCTGCTCGCCAGCCGCCGCGACCTCGACGGCCTGGGCCTCGACGCCGATGCACTCCGCCTGCCGGCGCACCTGTTCGGAGTCTTCGACGGCCACGGCGGCGCCGAGGTACGCCCGCTAGCTTGGGGAATCTTCAAAAGCCGCTCCATCGATTGACACCTGATCCGTCGCTTCTTGGCGCTGTACAGGTGGCCAACTACTGCCAGGAGAGGCTCCAGGTGCTGTTGCGGCAGGAGCTGAGACTACTCGGCAAGGATTTGGGGGAGACAAGCGAGGTGGACATGAAGGAGCACTGGGACGAGCTGTTCACCAGGTGTTTCCAGAGGCTAGATGACGAGGTGTCGGGGCAGGCGAGCAGGCTCGTCGATGGAGTCCAGGAGTCACGGCCGGTGGCTGCCGAGAACGTGGGCTCGACTGCGGTTGTCGCCGTCGTGTGCTCGTCCCATGTGGTGGTCGCCAACTGCGGGGATTCGCGTGTCGTCCTCTGCCGTGGAAAAGAGCCCGTAGAGCTGTCGATTGATCACAAGGTGAGCTTTTTCATTTTCTTAGTCATGATGCTTATGGTGTTCATGTGATTGACCCTTGGTTGCTTCAGCCTGACAGGAAGGATGAGCGGGCGAGGATTGAGGCCCTGGGAGGCAAGGTCATCCAATGGAACGGCTACCGGGTCTCCGGTATACTTGCTATGTCGAGATCGATTGGTATGTATATTGGTTCCTCAGCTAGATCTTGGTAGAATGACTTTTTTTAAGTGGGATGGAAATTACAGTTGTAGCAACATGAAAATGCTTATGCTGTTGCTGCATGTTGTAAAGTATCTTAGTTAGGTGTATCTAACAGCATGTTCGCTTGCTCGTATACGATCGTGGATTATAAGCTAGAACATTATTTCTCTCACACCAAACCAGCCAGCAGTAAATAATCTACGATCGTTTACGTACGAAACGAACATGAGATCAAATCTAAGCAACCAGTTGCTGTAGGAATTAGTTTTTTTTTGGTATTATTATCGCTCTATATGATCTAGAGAATCATCTTCAATCTAATGAGTAAGGTTTCATATTGACCTCGGCAATTTTTCCCTAGAAGTCATTTTGTTGAAAGACTCCTTACTATACTCTGTAGCATGGTGATTTCGCTGGATGCCATGCTTCCATTTAGGAAGATAGCTATTTTTATCTGCCCTCGTTTACAATTACCATGTTGTAGCTGTTCTATATATTAAAAAAAAGTCCTTTATCAGTGATTTGGTTTAAACTGCTTGTTTCTATCCGAGATAGCAAGCATGATAGACTTAAAACTCTACTGAAATCATGTTCTGGGATTTGACTGTCTAGATATTGGCTCTAATCCTATCAGTGAAGTTGTAAAATGAGTTTTAAGTATATTTCTATGGTATATAACACAGAATGCAGATGTGATTAGGAAATGAAGTTCTCTGCGGTAGAAAAGCCATCTTTAATTGACACGACAAAGGTACCTCATGTCATGATTCCTGCAAGTGGCACTTGCAGCTTGGACCATGGCTAACCATCAATGGATCTTGTTTGGAAATGTTAACATTCATTGCCATCTTAAAATCAGATGCACCATTGTGCTAAACTCTTGGACAATATTGTTCCTCCAATTTCAAAACAAAATTTAGTTGAACCAACAGTTCAGCTGACATCTCTGTGGGTTGGATAGCATTTGTCCAATTTTCGTCACATTTTTCTAACTTAAACTTGGAAACACTTGTTGCAGGGGACCGGTATTTGAAACCATTCGTCATTCCAAAACCAGAAGTTACAGTCTTTCCTAGGGCGAAAGATGACGACTGCCTCATTCTTGCAAGTGATGGACTGTGGGATGTAGTGACGAATGAAGAGGCATGCAAAGTTGCGCGTCGGCAAATCCAAATGTGGCACAAGAACAATAGTGTCACATCATCATTGTGTGATGGGAGTGATGAATCCACTGATCCTGCTGCACAAGCCGCTGCTGATTATCTTATGAGGCTCGCACTGAAGAAGGGTACTGAGGACAATATCACTGTAATTGTGGTTGACTTGAAACCTCGAAAGAAGCTCAAGAGCAACCCATAACATTGAGCTGGATCCATCAGAGTAGAGCTTACCATGATATGTCCAAAGACTTCTACTGCTAGTTGGTCGTCCGCATGAGACTTGACCCACAGTTTTTTTTCGTTGGGCCTCAAGAATTGTACATGTATATGCTAGATGCGATTTGCATAGAGGGTTATGATGCTTAATCCCATTCTGGTTTCTGGTGGTTTAAATATTCTCCAATCGGCTTCTACCTTGAGCCCTGGCACTTGATATAGTCCCCAATGCTGTATGATAGTCGAACTTGTAAAGAGCCAAGCGGCTGAGACGGTCACTAAAATTAACATATTGTTACCTTAATGATTCAAGGCCTACCCATATGTCTCTATCCGATGGAAGTTGTGTATTGCAGGTCCCCGCGTGTATAAATCTCATACCCCACCCAGAACTTTGCAGTCTTATACAAAACGGGAGGCTTTGTAAAGAAACCGCTACACATTCTCTATTACAATATAAACGCAAAATTTTGGTTCTCGCGGATAAAAGGTAGCAGGTCATTAACTGACGTCTCCTCAATGTTTGGCATCGACTTCGAGATATCTTCAAGCGAAAAAGGTATGCTGCAAGAGAAATGAAAGTATGAAAGAGTGTAACTGAACAAATATCATTTGGGGGCATGAAAAATAGAGCCTATAAATTGTCAGGGAATAGACCTGGAATCATCATCCAGCAGGACCGAAAAGCTGGAGACGCTATTTGATTCTTCACGCAGCATAGCTCTCATGCTTGATATGAACTATGGATAGTAAAGGACATTATAGCATTTCGAACCAAACAGTGCAAGACTAAATGTATCGTCTTACCTCGGCTGAAGTTACATTTGTTCCATTTAAATCATCCCAATACATACCGACTATCCGCTCTAGCTGCTGCAAACTGAGAGCCTAAACAAATAGCTAAATGAGTACGAAATAGTGTTAAGAAAATGACACAAGAATCATGGACAAAGCGAACACTTACCGGGCAAATATCATTGCATATTTCTTCCCATGTCCTTATTGGCTTCAGAGAAATTACCTGATGAATGGAAGGGGGAGGGGGTATATTTGAGAAAAAAAAAGTATCAAAGTTTCATATAGTTCAGTTTGTGTACAAGAGCCACAAAGGTTTGCTTCTCAAGGGGAAAATGATTCAAACCACAAAGTCAACAGCTTGTCTTATATGCCTCAGTGCTACCCATGCCGAGTCTGCAAACTGGGTCAAAACAAATCATAAATTAAAAAGGATTTATAAAATTTCTATTTTAAGAAAAGGCATGTAAAAATGAGAGTTACAAAAAACACGTTCTTGGTCCTAGTTTCAAAAAACCTGATATATCTCGAATTGTGACATAAAATGCCAGATATATAGCCCTAAAGTTTTATGAAATTTGTAACCCCACCGTGGTGAAATCCAAACCTAGGCTGACTAACAGAGCCCACCCATAGCTCCACATTTCCTATTGCAAAGTGGAGTGGGCAGAGACAACAAAGCCCCTTCTTGATAGCTTGGGTGTAACGTTTTAAAGTTTGGGTTTTGTTAAACACTAAGAACAGTGAACCGGTGTTCTTATGTAATTTACCCTTCACGATGTATCCTACTACAACAGAATAGATAAGTGAACCACCTCTTGACCGACGTCATTGCACCAATATCTTAGTTGAGTTAGCCCATCTTTGATGTATTGCCCATTGCTAAAGGAACAGCACTCACGCCTCAAGAGGAGCCTGTTTTCAAATAAGAGAATGCCCCAGGAACAGAAGTGAACTGTTCATACTTCCAAGAAGAAAATATGATAGGATGACCCAAAACTTACCTGTTAAACAATTGCACATTGACCATAGAAAATATTTGGGTAAGCAATTTGTGGACCAAAATTGAGGGAACCTACAAAGTAACCACATTAACATTGTTTTTGAAATACTGCAAATGGATACTGCATTGATGATTGTGCTCATTTAGCACCTACATGATTGGCTCTGAGAACATGCAAATAGCTGTTGAAGATTTTCACGATGCTCAGCCAATGCATGAGTTGGTCCTGTTGGCCCAAGCCACTAGCAGGAGACATCAAGGCCTTTGCTTGATTTGAGTAGGAAGTTCTTGGATCCTAAAGATTTAGAAATTCCCCAGATTTTCAATAGGAAAAGTTGTCAGTGGATGGTTCCTTTGCTCAAGAAATGAGGTACCTGTATGCACAATTCAAGTAATGGATTTAACTCCTTCATTTTGTCGCTTATCACTCCATACACCTTTTCAATCTGATCCACTAGCTGCTGCTTGAAGAGCAAAGCCGGATATCTTGCTTCAATTTGGTGAAACACGCTAGCTCCATCCACTGATTGAGCACTGAGACAAGCAAGTCCACTGCTTGAAGTTTGATTGGCTTGAAAAATCCTTTCACAGGAAAATCTTCGTCTATGTGGAGTTGAGACAGTTGCCCTGGTGGCTTTAAATGAGCGTTGCAGGAGAACTGACAATGTGGATAAGTTGGACAGCCAGTAGGCCAAGCCTCTCATATCATGTTGAGCCTTGAAGTAAGAACATTGATTAATATTACAGGTACTGGAAAATTGGATGCATAAAGCTGTGTCATATAGAATTACAAGGTGCAGACTGCAGAGTATGAGCTACTGGAGTACCACTACAGCATAAGGAGCTTAAAAAACTCAAGAGAAGTGCTACAAACCTCAGTTGCTGAGTTTACAACTTGTATAATACTGTCAAAGACACTTGTCTTTGCTTCTTCAAAAGATCTCCAATGAAGAAGACAGTAGTATATAAGAGAAGCAGCAATAGGTTTTCTCTCAAAGAATCCAAGATACTGGGTAATATACTTCAGCAATAACTGCTGATGATTCTGGGGTTGCTGGTGCTGAGAAGGATACCAAAAATAAACGGAGCTACCATTCAATGCTGAGGGTTTACGATAGAATGAACTAGTAGAGAATAGCAAACACACACCTGATACACTTCATTAAATAACCTTTGCCCATTTTCATAATCCTTGTGGTTAATCAAATCAAGGGAACTACCCTGCATGTTTAAAAACAAATATGCAATACATCAATTGACTTGTAAAGTAAATCGGAATGAGATGCAGCCATGTTTGAGAAAAAAGAATGGCATGCAGCCATATACTTGGTTAAACTACCATTGAGGGTCTCGTTTCTGTTGGACCGGTTGAGGACTTCATTTCAGCATATGCTACGTTGCCATTTAAAATATGACCACTTTCTTGACATCTCTGTTGAAATGCATCTACCAGTTCAGATTAGAATATTATCAGCAATTCAAATTGAGCACTACTGATGATATATTACATGGATCATACTGATTTTAGAGCATGCAGCTTGAGAAGACTTTGCTGTGGATGGAGGAGTTGCAATTGTTTGTTGGCGAAGCAATTGATTTTCGGCCTCTAAGTTGGCAGCTTTCCCTTCTAACCTGTATTTGTGGAAGGACAGAAACAATTTAAAATTGGCCATAAATAAGCACAAGATGTAGACAAAGGAAATGAATTACCACAACAGAGAGTTATTTGTCTAGGTAAAATACCTTTCTAAGTTCCCTCGAAGCTCAGTAACAAGTATAGCAGAATCTTCAATCTTCTTCACCAAGTCATCATTCCTTTTTAGGAGGTCTTCATTTCTCTTCATTAGATCTTCATTTGTTCCATGAGCCTCAGTATATGCATTCTTGACACCATCGCCATCTTGTTTCTCCATTACAAAGTTAGACAGTCTAGATATGGCATCTACTTGAAGCCTAATTGATACAGACATTAGTCTCTGACAAATGATCTGTAATGATGGCATTGTAGTCGACAATTAGAGAAAGATATTTAAGATACCAACTTTTGGACAGTATCTTGAAGCTGGTGAGCCCTGTATTCGCTATCCCTAACTTTCTTAAATAATACATCGTTTCTCTCCTGAGCTTCAACAAGGGACCTCTTGATTGCTTCATTTTCTTGTCTTTCAGCTTCCAAAGAAGCTGCCATATTCTCCTTAAGCCTGTTATGGGGCAAAAACAACACTACAACTTCATAATGTTGAATAGTAGTAATGAACAAAAGGAAGAACTATTTGGGTTAAGCAAAAAAAGGGGGAAATGCACAAAACCTAGGTATTGTGATGCATGCCACATAGCCCTAGATTGATGAACTGTTTCGATCTATCTCAGATATTCATAAATGCACTTCTATTTTTACTTTATGCTGTTACCATTCCTTGAAATTTGATATTCTTGCGAGACCCAAAGACATTCTGCATGCATGTGGCACATATGTGACATCAATGTCTCCCTTTGCATGTATATCTTTTTAGAACATGTGACCTTGATCCATTCTAATGTTATGTAAAAGGTAGTGTGATATAAGAGTGTCTGATCATGGCAATATAACCGTCAAGCTATGTTTAGTATGAAGAGACACAACTAGGTGCTATATTAACAGCATGTGCGGTCAAATAGGTGCAGTTTTTAGTATGGAACCACATGCCTCATACCACTGATCTTGTAGCATGGGAAGAAATTCCAAAAAAAAAAAAAAACCGATGAATTTGGCACAACTATTGAGATAGTTAGAAGGTTTAGTAAAATGGGGCGGTCATTTTAAACATATATGAAAACACCTTTATTTTACATTTTGAATTTAATTTCAGGAAATAAAAAAAACATCTCATGCTGAAAAGGGAGAACTACATGCCTGTAGTTGTAATATAATATCTATAAAAAATTGTTTAAGGTACATACGAATTTATAGTGTTTTGAAGATGCTCAACTTTTTTGTTGGCTTCTTCAGTTTTCATCAGTAACTCTTCATTTTTGTATTCACTCTCGGTAAGTGCTTCCTTCAGGGCATCCTTCTCACGTTTCTCAGATAGCAGCAAAGTGTCTTTCGCTGTATTATCACCAAGCCTGAAATTGATCATCAGTTATTATGGCTAGCAGTAGGATCTACATTATGTAAACATGCTCACTAGCTATAAGCAAGCATCCCCAGTGCCAAACACAGCTTAATAATGTTGGCAATGGAGGTAGGAGGCACAACACTAAGGAATTTAGAGCTGTTAAGCTGCTCTTGCATTGCATCCTTGCATACATATATACACATACATACAAAGGGGCAGCTGTATACCTTCCCAGGTATGGTGTATATCACTTCCTACTGTAGCTAAATCATCTACCAACTACTACTCTACTCCTTACTGCCAACTTTTGCTGATCAAAGCTTGTCAAACAAAAGAGTAAGGTGTTGTCCTTCCTACATGATAGAAGCAGCAACTACTAGCACTAATGAGGTTGACTGAACACAGGGATTACTTATCTGTCAAATATAACAACAGACTTATAGAGTACCTTTGTACACTTCCTTGAAGAAGACCAATTTTTCTGTCAACGTCCTCAAGCTTGTTTAGTAACAGCAAATTTCTTTCTTGAGTTTCAGCTTGTGCCTTCATGGTTGCATTGTTTTGTTCTCGTTCTTTCAACAGTAAAGCCTCTGTAGTAGATGTGTTTTCCTGAAGCCTATACTCATGGTAGAGATATGGAATTGATTCAAAGATTAAAACAGATAATTTTCTGACAGAATTCATGTCCTAGAGGTTGCTAGGTAGACAATAAGGAACGATTATGGACCTCTCCGCAGTTAGCTGAAGCTGAAGAATATTTTTATGACAATCCTGAATTTTCTTGATTAACTCTTCATTTCTCCACTGAATTTCAGTTAGAACTTTCTTGGTCGTCTCATGTGCCTGTTTCTCTGATAACAATATTGTGTCTCTGGTAGTAGATTCTGCTTCAAACCTTTCAAAATCACACTGAAAAATCACTATCACAGAGTAATGATGATATCGAGAAAGAAGTTGGGACACATCCTCTGAAGAAACATCAGACCTCTTGATGGTATCTTCCAATTGTTTTCTTATTTCCTGGGACTGCTGTGACTCGTGTACTAATTCATTGATTGTTTTCTGGGCATTGGCCAGTTCTTCTTTGGTCCTTTTGTTTTCTTGTCTTTCTACTGCCAACAAAGAGTCTTTCTCTGCTGTGCATTCTTCTAGTCTATGAGTAAAGAGAAAAAAAAAATCCTCAAGCAAAGGGCAGATCACAAATGCTTGTAACAAATGAAATCTAACCTGTTAAGTGAATCCTCAAGCATATTGACTTTTTTAGCTGAATCCTCAAAACTTGTCACTAAATCTCGGTTTCTCCCTCGTGCTTCAGTTAGTGCTTTTGTAGTGCAGCCAAGATTCTGCTTTGTCTTAAGAAGCAAAGATTCCCTTGCTGTTGCATGTTTCTCAAGTCTAAATTCATTAAGGAAAAGGGAATATGTATTAGCACACAAAGTTGAAAGAAAGGAGTAGCTCTTTTAAGTTGCAGATATGGCATTATGCTTGAGTAAAGAAAGCTCAGCTACAGATAGTGGCAGCAAGATAAGAACCTCTGAGCATTCTCCAGCATCTTGTTTATAGTTTTCTCACTATCATCAACTTTCCTAAGCAATTCCAAATTTCTTTCCTGAGCTTTGGAAAGTGCTTGTTTGGTTTGATCATGCTCCTGTTTTTCTGCTACATATAAGGCATCCCTTGTGGTTGCATTGTCCTCACACCTGTATTCAGCGAGTGAAAATTCTAACACTACCAGCTTGCTATATTTAAGACAGGAATAAAGATGTGAAGAAAGGCAGAGCCTGTATTGCAAAAGAGATGCCAACAGGTACACGACAGCACCCCCACCAAACTATGATCAATCCCCTATACTGTGTACACCTAATTGCCATGACTCTCTTCAGTTTCTTTTGGCCTTTGGGAACGTATTTGGAAGAGTTGGGCTCAGGGTAAATGTCGCTTCTTCATGTGGTTGGTTTCCCATAACAAATGTTGGACAGCTGACCAGCTGGCTCCCTGGGGTTTTGCAGCATCCCCCTCGATGCCCATTATGTGATCAGGAAGGGTGTTTTGTGGTGTATCATGGGCGATGTAGTTGTTTGAGAGTGGTGGGGTGTTAGTGTGTGTTTTGTAAGGGTTTCTCTACCTGCTTTTTTCTTTTTTAATATAGTGATTCGCAGCTCTCCTACATGTTCGAGAAAAAAAAGTTTTATAATATACTTTTTAATCGTTTATCTTCAAAGAGGCGCTGATACTGAACCTATGGAAATTCCTTTGCTGTTTCACAGAGACTGCAACATCCATCAAGATTTTAAATACCTTGCTCACAGATATTTTTAGATTTTGTTGTTGCACCATTTTGTGAATGCGTGTATGTTGAGGGATGGGGGTTCAGGAGATGCAGCAACATGAAAGGTAGAGTTTAGATGCATGCAAATTGTGTATATGAATAACTAGAACGTTAATAACATTCCATTCAAGCAAAAGAAAAACAACTCATACCATCAGCAATTGTTGAAGTATGGTAGCATCAAGTAATTAACGTAACATGAGAAGTCAACCTTTTCAAAGAATCTTGAAGCAGATCAATTGTCTTATTGGCATCAGCAAATTTCTTCTGCAGTACTTCGACGCCCTGTTGTGCTTCAGCTAATTGTGAAATGATTGCAGTACTCTGGTGTTTCTCAGATAACAATGAAGTCTCCAATGCTGCTGCAGTTTCTTCAAGTCTATGTTAATGAAAAAGAATAATCAGTGTTGTTGTTTTAGGATGATGATAGTATAAAAATAGTAACAAAATTGCAATCAGTTTCAAACTCAAGTCAAGCATGAAGTGAAACCACTTGTCACTCTAAAAAATAGTTTTCCAACCACAGAGCAAATGCATTTGGATGCACTTGGATATCTACACCAACCCAGAGTCGACCAAGTACCTGATCTTGCACCTACTCTTTGTGCATCTGTGAGAAAAAGAATTGCTAATCGAAGAACAGTGAAGGAGGCGGTAGGAGATAACACCTGGGTTCGTGGCGTTAGAGGTGGGCTGTCAGCGTTGGCATCATCTGAATACCTCCAACTTTGGTACCTTCTAATCAGTTTTGAGCTCACTCCCGCAATAGATGACCAGCATATATGGATGCCATCCTTATCCGGTGAGTTCACAACAAAATCAGCCAACCATCATTTCTTTGTGGGATCAGTGAAATTTGGGACATGGAGGGAAATATGGAAGGCCTGGGCTCCACCTCGATGCAGATTCTTTGTTTGGTTGGCCTCCTTAAACTGTTGTTGGACGGCTGATCGTTTGTCCCACCATGGACTTGATCACCTGGAGCGCTGCCCACTGTGCGACCACGTGGAAGAGACGGTGCAACATTTACTCACTTCTTGTGTGTTTGCAAGAAGTGTGTGGTTTTCAGTGCTATGAATAGTCGGACTGCAGCACTTAGCCCCAGGCTTGGAGAACTACAAGTTTATTGGTGGTGTCATGCTTTAGTTTTACAGATGGTTCCCAATTTATCTCGCAAGGGCTTCAACTCCTTGGTTGTTTTGGTGGCATGGTGGATTTGGAAACATATAAATGGCTGTATTTTTGAGGGGTTTTCTCCTAATCTTGCTGCCATTTGTGGGGTATTAGAGGTGAGGCAATGTTATGGTGTATGACGGGAGCCAAAGGGATCCGAAGGGCCATAATTGTTTTGCTCACGGCCGCTGGTTGTGGTTAAAGTTCGTTAGTGAATCGATCCTTTTTGTAACTTCTTTACCCCTATAGGGGTTGTACGAGTCATCTAGGCTCCTTTCTCCTTAGGCCCCTTTTGGATCCTTGGAATTGAATTCATTTTAATAATCATAATTTAGACACATATTAATTAAGCTAATATGGTTGTATATGGATTATATTTGTATATTATTGTTGGCTACACGAGAGAGATACTTATGTGTTGCATTTCTACCGTAGGGGAGCGAGTTGAAGAGCGTGTTATAAGTTGCAAAGTAGAAACATAGAATGGTGATTTATAAAATCAATTTCTATGTCCCACCCTATGAATTTGAGATAGGCTTATATGTGAACTTTGGAAAGTGGTGGAATGTCAAATTCCAAGCCAAATAGCCTAACTTATTAAGTAGATTTCAATTCTCCCAAATGAAAGGATTCAAACAGCCCCTTAACATGATATGCGTTTCTCCTGCGTGTTTGAGAAAAAGCATGAAGTGAAATCAAGGACAGGAAAAAGCAACATTATGAATCACCTTTGGATGTCGTCTTGGAAGTTACTAATGTTATGTTCAGCTACTTCAATTTTATTGAGTAGTTCCTCATTTTTTACATGAGCTTCAGTGAGTGATTTCTTGGTTGCTTCACTTTCTTTTCTTTCTGCAAGCAAAGTAGCTTCTCCCTCAATTAAACTTTCTTGCAGCCTGTGATCATGAAGAAGAAAAAATAATGAGCTTTAAGTCAACCAAATGTCCTACAATTATTTGTGGTTGCCAAGAATTGCACAGGTAATAAGACTGAAATTTTTGTTAAGATCATGAGTTAGGGCAAGCTTATATTTCTTACTAAACCAAATTGACCTTTGCACAGCAGTCTGAAGCTCTGTGGATTTTCCGTTGGCATTTGCAATTTGTCTCAGTAATTCTTCAACCCTCTGGTGTGCTTCATTTAGTTCCCTTCTAATTGTAGTGTTTTGTTCCTTTTCTATCATCAATGAAGACTCCAGTTCTATCACATTCTTTTCAAATCTGTATTCAACAGGCAGGAGGAAAGTTGTTTTTTTCCAAAATAGGAAGGATGAGACTGGATTTACTTGGATATGGTCAAGTATATGGGAAAGTACCAGCACGTTCTACAGCATGCAAAATGGAACTAAAAGAAAGGTTGTTTAATTGTATTTGTGGTCCTTTGTGAATTAATAGAAAATATGTTCTCCTGAATTTCAACTCTCTATTATTTCTTCATTTATGCCTTGAGCTTCAACGAGTAATTGAAAGCCAGACATCAGTTATATTTGCATTCTTTACGTCTGTGAGGATGTGACAAAATGGAATATTATGAGATCAGCAAAGAAACAAACTAGTACTGGAGCTCCTCACTCTATCACAACAATCACCAGGATAATGAAGTGCATGTGAACAGTTTCCTGAAGCAGACATTTGTTTACCAGAGTATTACATTTCCTTGCTAGCACTTCATTTCACTTTTGAGTTCCAGCTAGTGTGATCTTATTTACAACTGTACATGTTATATCTTTCAGCTGGAAACCATACTTCCTCTTTCTTTACATACATTGACTTTTAATCTGAATTAACATGACGAAAGAGCTCGGATAGTCCGTAATTGTAAGTATAATCCTTGCTGCTGTTAGTTTTCTGTTACTGTGAGTCAAGTCAACGAGTCAGGTCTCTACCTCAGATTGCAAGTTAGTTAAGTCTTAGGCTACAAGTTTTAGTCAAGACAAGCCAAGTCTTGAACCAGCTAGCTGTAGCTTTTATCAGGCCCAAAAAAACAGACTCTCACCTCCCCACTCACGTGAAGTGCAGCAGAAAATAGTAGCTGCACATACCACTATACCAATTCAACAGTAATGTTCCACTATAGTACTGCTAACAGAATTCAATCAACCAACAAATCTAGAGTGCATCCAACTGTTATCTTAGTATCGCAATGAGGTTTAGCAATGGCAAATCAGATCCTAACAGTATGCAACGTCAACATTTAAATATGTGTGACTGCATCAGTATCCATGTGTGATACATGTGCTCATGGAAAGGTTTTGTGGATAAATTGCATATGAGGTTTTCAAAACAGTCGCTTTTCTGTCGGACCTTTGCATAAAAGCAACAATATTAAGGGATACGTCCTATTATAGTGAAAGGTTTAGAATTTTCAAGTCCTATTCTGAAAGTAATGCTAGTTTTTAGTATTGGCAACTTAAAGATATTTAATTCAAAAACCCTTGGCTAGAGCCAAAGAAACATGGCACAGTCTACTAAGGTCTAAAGTCATTGAGTAACTAACCTCTTAACAGTATCTGTAAGTTGCTCCATGTTTACATCTGCAACCGCAATTTTCTTATTCAGCACATCATTTTCTTCCCGAGCAACAACGAGTGCACTCTTAGTTGCACTGTTTTCTTCTCGTTCTCTTAATAGCAGTACCTGTCAGTTACAGTCATCCATAAAAGAAAATATCATGACACAGATAAATAAATAACTTCTACCATCAGACTCTAATCAAAATGTTGTAACCAGGCTATTCTTTTTACTGTTCAGCTTGAAACAAATGCTATAACTGTATCTGATTTGATTAAGTTAACAATGCAATACTGAAATCCTTGCAGATATCTACAGTTGGGATATTTCATAAGTTGATTTAGGAAAAAAAGTACCTTCAACTCATCAATTTCATTAGTCAATACGGTGATCTTTTCTCTTTCTTGAGCTAAAGCTTCCTCAATAGCCTTTTTGGCTAATTCTCTTTCCTGCATCTCTATGGCTTCTTCAACCCGCTGCTCCATCTCACGAAGAGCGGCCTGTAGTTTTGAAATTTCTCTTGCCTTGTTCTTCTCTAGATCAATCTGAAAAGTGATACTATGTGAGCATAAATTCATCAGTTAATTTATCAACATTATCTTAAATTCGTAATTCAAGAGCAGCATCTACCCTAAGATTCTTTTCCAAGCCCAAACGGCTAGTCAGCTCTTCCACATGCTCCTCAAGTTTCTCCTTCTCCACCTTCAGGGCTTCTGTGTCCCTTGCAGCCTACAAAAGGTATCAACAAATAAAAGGGTGTACAAGTGAAATACAGAAGAATCAACATGATTAAAACAATGATACAATTACTTAAGTACCATTTTGAGCTTTCTGAGTTCTCCTCTAGCAATTCGTCTTCTCCATGCACACTGATAAATTAACACTGATCTTTTCATTTTAAGGTAATTCAAACGATCTCTATGGCAACGCCAACAAGCCTGCAGGCAACCATTCTCAGAGTGTCAGTTCAGAGATGAACAAGTAAAATATGAATCTGTAAATTGGAAGTTATAACCAGACTTCCCTTTAGATAAAAAGAATAGAATGAATCTGTAGTCTACCTGGACATAAATAGAAGCTCTATTTTGTTTTCTGATAATGTATTCGTTATAAGCACCAAAGGCCCTTAACCCTGTCTGCAATGTAATGGCTGAAGAACATAGCTCCGAATAAGTCTTCCAAGCAAAATAGCAGCGATAGCTTTTCTGTATATGCAGTACTGCAGCTTGTTTTCTGAGGAAAACATGCAACTTACAGGCCAATATCACTGCAATAGATAATGGTACTCTCAGTATGACAGTATATAATTCCACCTGAGATGACCATTGTTTCCAGTTTCGATACCAACTAGCAACAGCTTACCTCTGATAGGATTAAAAAAAAAAACAGCTTACCTCTAACAAAAGATTGAAATGATATTGATGTCATGCGTAATGCAAGGAATTGCTCACGAGCAACATGAGTGCGAAATCTACTCTGAACGGCTATAGCTGCTTTATTCCGCACTTCAGTTCTTCTAGCATCTAATTCAGCCATCTGACCAGCTCTCAGGAACACCTTTGTTCTTCCAATCTGTCATGGACATCAATAACTTAAATGCCACAAGAAAATTTCATTTTCTCTGGGTATGCTGCAAGCAGACACCTCTGCCATGCAATTGTGTAGAAGAACAAACCACAGAGGAGTAGTTAGGTGTTACATATTGTGATTGTTGGCAAGCAAACGAAATGAAAATCAACAAAAGAGTAATGGCATCTGATGGAGTAGTTATTAGTTAACAGATGATTTTTTCAGTGGTTTGAACCAAAATCTGTTGGTGGTATAAAACAGCTCTTAGAAAAAAAAAATCTCATGGATTGCGTGTAGGTACTCAACAAGAGGAAGCATTGCGTGTGTTACTTGACTGACTTTTTTTGGAATAACTGGAAATGAAAAGAATGTAGGCATATAACATACATAGAGGATTAGTTATAGCATTCTTCACCTGATAACCATGAAGTCCCATCTTGTCCAAAATCTTTTGGCATGTCACCTTTTCACTGTTTCTGTCAGATATAAGAAAAGAGTTATAACACGGGATAGAATGGCATAATTAGCAGATCCAATGAAAAATACTTTGTTACCAAACGGTGAGTTCACCTTTCTGTGAAAACTTCAGGAGCAAGAATGCAGAATCGACAGAGAAAATCATGAAATATTTTTCTTGTAGGATATCCAGCACAGCTGATTCTAATAGCTTCAAGAACACCCTGAAATGCCAACGAAACATTAGAGTATACAATGGGGTTTTGTTTTATGGAAACTTTACCATTAGTGATCTGTTTCTTACTGAACACCGAAGTTGCTGCAGAACATTGACGTTCTCAAAAGTAGTAGGCTTAAGATGATTATTGGGCTTAATACATCTGATGTAATGAGGTTCCGTAGAACTCAAAGTCTCCATTAGTTCTTGGAGTTGCCACTGAGAATAACACGGAAGTATATCAGATATAAATGGCACTAGCACACAATACCAACAACTTCACATGAAACATAACTCGGTGGTCGAACAAACTCATATGTTCTCTTCTCTTTATCTATAAAGTATCGAGTAATATGCATTTACTTTCTATATATGGCATTTCATACTCTGCAAATATAGTACCATTTCTGTAACACACACATCCAAAATCCACTTATAGCTCTCAGCACCCAACAGGTGAGTCCTCACATGCATAGCACCTCTATCACATCCGTCCTCACTTCGTGCAAAGGGTTAACTCAGAGGCGCTATGTTACGAACACAAAGGATTATAAGCTGACCCTACCTACCTAAAATCCCCATGGATTAATCTGAACTTGACAAGGTAACTATTAATAGGCTGGGGTACTATAATTTCATTGTCACCTCCCTCCCTCCCTCTCTCAAATGATGATGTATGGAACTCTATACCTGGAAGTAAACCCAAAAACAAGATATGGAATGACAGTCACATTTCTTTTCTAGCACTTCTGTATTGTACAGAAAGTTTGTTTTCTTGAATATACAGAAGGAAATTAGCCTCATAAACACATTTTGATAAAAGCTATAGGAAAGCAGGATTGCGTGGAATGAATAGATTGATTAGGATTGTAGAGGAGGGCAGTACATATAGGCAGCCCTTGAGGTAGTTTAGGAAGGCCTACAATCAAGGGATGCCTACAACCAAGGGATGCTGATCCTAATCCTAATCAAGCCTATAATCAAGGCACGGCTGACTCAGCCATGCCAGGTACACACGCATACAAGGCACACATATATGTCTAACAAAAGCATATGCCAAAAGAACCATCTTCAGTAAAAAGAGAAAAAAAAATCTGAAGTACATACCCTAAAGTCTAGAGTTGGGGCCAGATGGATCTCTGAGAAATTTAGTTATCAAAAGAGAACCAAAGCCAAACTTCAGGTTGAAAAAAATGGGACTTTGGTAAGGATTTTTTCTCCAACCGACCTGGTAAGGAATTGCAGGCATAATAATAGGGTAGGAGAATCATACCTTGAAGCGAGTAGCAATGGAAGACTTTGATGCTTTTGTGTTCTCCTCTAGTACTGATGGGAATAACCCTGACACAAAAGAGCACTTGGAAGCATTAAGTAATTCTTGATGTTCCACAACTACATAGTCTCTGTTTTTGTCCAGGAAATGATCAGATTGGTAAGTTACCTGGAAAATAAAACAAAATTGAAAGGAATGTACTCAAGCAAATGTACTGACAAGAATGTGATGTTGTGAAAATTGCTTACTTCTCCTGCATAATGTTGTATGGTAAACGCCGTGCGAGAAAGCTTTGGTTTGCAAAATCTTTTGTTATTCCTAAATTTCTCATACAGCTTCTGAGAAAATGATTCATGTGTGCACTTAGGAAACATACTGGTGCACGAAGGATAAACCAAAAACCAAAGAACTTATATTAGAAGAATTGATTTGGAAATAGAAATAAATAGTGCTCTTTTATAGCATGAAATAAACAATTTACAGCTGCCTTTTACATTCATGCAACAGAAGTTCAAACTCACCAAGCTTCATCAAGAAGTGCAATAATTCCACCAGGCTTCTGAAAAATAAAAAGGGAGATAGGAACATTGAACTTTAGAAAAGAAAAATTCTTTTGAACCATTAGAAAAGAAAATTTGATATGATAGTATAACAAGGGTACACATTTACATTAGCCCTAGCCTGCCCACCACATTTATTTATTTTAGATGACCACCACTTGCTGTTGCAAAGCACTTGTCACAACATTTCTAGTTCTTATAATGATAAGTTCAAAAATACCAAATAACTCCAAGTCCACAAACCATAGTACCGCAGAATTGTTCAGAGAAAACATATTGAGTAAATATTATAGCCACATTTGGTAATTCAATGAAGTTTTTTAGAACACATAAGCACATTGTATTTACATAACGGCACTATACTCAATGACGTTATATTTTTTTTTCTCAAACACGCAGAAGAGCTGCATATCTTTTATATTAAGAAGGGAAAAAGGTTACGAGAAACCCCAAAACAACAAAGATAGTTTACTGACATTTGATAAGAAAAAGAGAGGAAGATTATAGAACTGCATTCACAAAGCTCCAAAATAGCCCATTCATAGGCCAATTTTTTTCTTAAAACTGTTTTGACTTTTGAGTGAATTTGTGGGAAAGTTTATTCTCAAAAAGTCAGATCAGGGTTAACAGCAGTCCAATTGCACCACCACACCCTTCACAGTGCCCATATATGCAGAAACATAGGGACTGCTTTCTCCTCAATTAGATATTTTTTAGTTGCTTTACCTCGAGTTAAAAGATAAGATGCACTTAGCTGGCTATGATTTTAAGCAATACTTAAACCTCAAAGGTACATCTAATAGCCAGCTCAGAGACTCCTGCTTGGCTCGAACCAAGTTGAGACACCTTCCTCTAACATTATTCCCTACCCAATTCTACAAGCCATCTTGAAACAAAGTAATGTTTTAGTGATAATGACCATTATATTACTGGAAAGATGCATGGCTAAGCAGCTTAAAACTAACTAAAAAAGAGTCAAGAGCACCCCACACCTTCTCAATCAAGTCTAGAACATCTTGGTTGTCGACAAATTCTATGTAGCTCCAGTCAATCTGCTCCCTGTTATACTCTTCCTGCTCCATTTTGAAGACATTCTGCCAAGACAAATACTAACTCTTTTACCAACCCATAGAAACAAAGAGAAATATAATATCCTGAACATCCACAGATACCTGATTAAAATGCTGTTGAAGTTTTTCATTGGTGAAATTGATGCATAATTGCTCAAAGCTGTTTCCATAGTATGAAAAAGAGTTCAAGACAAGAGACATTTATAAATGGTCTTCAATTGTACATTGGAATCATATTTTAATTAATAATTTACCTGTTAGTCTTAAAACTTTCGAAACCATAGATATCAAGTACTCCAATCAACCGGTCGGAGGATGTATCTTGTCCTATGGAGGCATTTAGTCTGTTTACGAGCCTGCACATGGTACAATCAAATACACTTACAAGGCTGCACTGTATACATGATTTAGGAATGAAGTACACAGTTGTATTCACTACCAGTCAAATAGTTGAGAATATATTTGCTTTGCTAAGCCATCCCTGCTAACAGTAGCAGAATTAGGATCAACTGTTGTGGTTATAACTCCTTCTGGTGTATTTATTTTCCTCTTTATTAATGCATTCTCCAGATTCCCACAATCGCACCTGTAATAAGAATGGCATAGTGCATCATAGGTTATAAATGTGAATGTATGCGCATTACAGTTTGTTTCCTTATCGTGCTCCCTTTCCTGTTCTATCTTTTACAAGAACGAAACAGAATTTGTAGAAAATTATAGAAACATGGAGGAAATATTAGGCATACATCAAGAGCTCTGCTGCTGCATTAAGATGGAACCTAGCTTTCTTGTCCTTTATTACAGATGAATCTACCTCTCTCCCTTTCACAAAACTGATGTTCCCGAGGTGGAGCACAGCAGCAACTGCCCGGAATGTAGCCTCCTGTAATACAAACGTGTTTGCTTAAAAATCTATACACACATCTACATGTTCTACAGTCAATTGAAAGATTCACAAGCTAGAAACCTGTTCCTGCTCAGTAATGCCAACTGTATTCATTGCACTTCGTGTTGCAAGATACTCCTTAGCATCACTAATTTCGTCAAGTTTAATGCACGTGGATTGGTTGAGATAGTGGAATGATGATGGGTCAGCAAGCTTATAACTTTTGATATCCTGCCAGCAGGGTATATATTCATCAGCAAATGAATAAGAGACACAGCCAATCATATTGAACTTGGAAAATTACCTCCGATGGTGCTGCACATAGGAAGTAAAAGCAATGGTAGTTTCTCTCTGGACTATTGATTTGGCAAACACGAGATCTTTCAAGCAAGTATGTTCTAATGGCAGCACCGGATATCTTCCCACTCTTGTCAAATTGGATTTCAACAAATTTTCCAAATCGACTTCATCATGTCATAGAAAATAAACAAGTGTTTGAGGAAATATTAAACAAACAAGTGTTTCCTTAAATATGAAGGTTTATTTCTATTCCATACTTAAAGAGTTTAATATGCCATACTGAATAATTTTCAAACCATTTTCTTGCAAGACTCAAAGTAGTGTAAAAAGATGACCTTGAGTTGTTGTTACGGACAGTCTTTGCATTGCCAAAAGCTTCAAGGACTGGATTAGACTGCACAAAAAGTATAATCAGATAAAACAGATCAGTTTCAAGTGAAACTACAGGCACGTTACTTTAAAGGCCTCCACTGCCTTTTGGACATGCAGGACACTGTTACTAACAACAACAACAAGTCTTATAAGAAATTATGTTTCCTAACTTACTTCTAAAACTTGTTGTTCAACTGTCCTCCCCCCTGTTCTAGACCGTCCACCCAAAAAAGCAAGATATCTCATTAGCATCTTTGTGGTTTCAGTTTTACCAGCACCACTTTCACCGCTCACCAAAATGGAGTTGCTCTTTCCCTCATTCATCATCTGCCTGTTTCCTTATCCAAAAGAATGTCACAAAAGGTTCCATCAGCCACATTGTACTTCATTCTAAGAAATCATTCACCACTGTTAGTCTGTTACTGTAGGCATTCACCTGTAAGAAACATCGGCAATTGCAAACACATGAGGGTCTAGCTCACCAAAATTTGCACCTTTGTACTTCTCCATGGTACGGGGTTCAGAAAGATGGGGCAGACTTTGGAATGGATTAATTGCAATCAGAATATTGCCAGTATAGGTCTGTAACTCAGAAAAATTGGAATATTAGGAAAGAAGAGGGATGGGGGCGCAAACTCATTTTGCTTCATTTCCAAGTGACAATAAGATTGAGTGAACAAATACTCACATAAATTATATTTTTTGCATATCGAACAGCAAGATTATTTAGAACACCAGGTTCATGCAAGTATGATAGCCTTGTCATGTCATCAATGCCATCAGATGGCACTTCTGTGTCCTTTGGATGAATGCCTGATATGCTCACAATAACCTGGTTTCATGCAATAGAAGAAATGGCATGAGCTGTGCAACATATAACATATGAATATAGATAAGCCTATCAACCCAAAATAAACAGGATCAGGTTTGCATACCCTGATGCAGCTCACACCAAAATATGAAAAATCCCTTCTAATTATTTTATTCTTTAAATTATAATTATAGTTTTGTCAAATTAACTCTTAAATTCAGTAAATGATACACCCAGTTTGATTGCTCAAGATCCAAATCATGTATAGACTAGGTTTAGACATTGATCTCTATGAAAAATAATAGAATATATGCTGCATGGAGCACTGTTGCACATCATAGTAATTATGTTATGTTAGTGATGCAATTATGAATGATGAGAGAGAGAGAGAGGGGTGCTAGACCATGGAAGTTATAGGACACAGACACAAATTAGATGAGTCTTATTATGCGGAAATGGATGCACTACTGAATCATGTAAGATCAACAAGCAATATCAGACACACATACCGTCTTTCCATTGGTAGTGTGGACATGGACATTTTGACCTTCAATCCGGAAAACCTCGCCATCAATCCAAGCTAAATCTTTATCCTCCAGCCATATATGGGAGCCTACAACAATCTTTAATGTGGCAGCCTGCACACAAGCCAAGTCAAAACACCCAGCATGTCTGAAAAGTCTATGTTGATAGACAATGAATGTACATCTCTGTTAAATTTCCATACAAAAAGTGCAAAAGGACAAAACACCATAAAATTCAGGAAAAGACTCCCCCCTCCAATCCAAATTGTAAGTGGTTCTAGCTTTTCTAAGTACATAGCTTTTGCTAGCACCTAGATATACATTATGTCTAGATACATAGTAAAAGCTATGTATCTAGAAAAGCCAAATGTCTTATAATCTGGAAAGGAGGGAGTACATATTACAATGTGTTTGACAAAAACTACATATTATAATGAATGGCACATAGCATGATGCATGGATCATTGATGAAATTGGCTGACCCTATGGATGGCACGTCAAATGATGAGAGAAGGTTGCGATTCAGAAAAAGACCAAATGATACAGATTGCAGAATTATTTTGTGCCAAAAAGCATAAAGTCAGAACAAAACCATGAAAGATATACTTTAAGAAACTGGATTATACTGTTAAGGATAATGATGAACTTTACACCATAGAATCTAGGTCACAGATTAGCAAAAACGACAACCAGTCATGAACAAGAAAATGCTAGCATTCAGTCAATAACTACTTGCCCACAACAATATTGACTGGTGAATGTTGATACCTATCCTCATGAGACTATTAACTACTACTACTAGTATACCATTAATTTCATGGCCAAACTAAAATTTCAGATATTACTCGTTCTGGCTGGCATATACACTTATTAAGTCCATCATACCATAACAATGCCTAGAAATATGGATTCCTCTCGTCAAATTGGATCAACCAGTGCGAGCAAAGTGGGTTAGGTTTTAACTCAAAGTGCATTTTAACATGTGGCTCTGCTTACTGATAGTCTAAATGCTCACCCATCGATCAAACACTTCAACTACATCAAATGAGGCTGATGATCAAGTGAACTTGGGAAATTCTGAAATTCCAATCAACTGGGTCAGTCCTACACAAAATCCTCCAAAACGAACCTCTCGCCCTACGATGAAGGATCCAGAATCCAACGAGTTCACCTCGCACTCGCCACACAAGTACACGACCAATAGCCACAAGCCCACAATATCCTGCCTCAACCCGGTCTGACAACCTAGTGACTTGCAAAACTGCATGACGGGGCGCGCGCACCGACACCGGCACACGGCACCACCAACAAGGGAACAGCGGGACTCCATATTCATATGAGAAAACGAGAGTACAAACAGTAACACACCCACCATGCGTAATGCGATCACCAAAACGCTACGGCTGTCGTCGGCGAGGTTGAATCAGGTTCGACAGCGGCGTTGTCTCCCTCCCTTGCGCCGGTCGCCGGTCGCCTCGCCGCCAAGTAGGCACGCCGTGCGGTCCGTCTCGAGCGCGTGCGGAGGCGCGCGATGCCAGCAGCGGAGGAGGCGGAGGGGAATGGGGCGCGAACCATGCACCAGAGGCGATTCCTCATCCCCCTGTCTATTTTTGGCGCTGGTGGGTTGGGGTGGAGGGGTGGTAGGAGGCTGATCGCTCGGGCCACGAGCGCCCGATTCGAGGTGGCGTGGCGTTCGCCGAAAGACCGAAGGTGAGGGTATAGATGTCCCGGTAGCCCGAGGCCCGGCGGCCCGACACAAAGCTCACAAATTTGGCTCGGCTCAAGCACGGCACGGTCCGGTGGTGTGCGGGTCTGGGCTGGCCCGGCCCGGTAGAGCAGGCCGTGTCTGGGCTGATACTCAAGCCCGCGAGCTGGCACGACACGGCCCGGTTTTAAGGGGTTGGCCCGGCAACGGCTTGAGCGGCGAAGCGACCCAGCGTCGGCGCGCAGTGGACAAAGGCGAAGGCGCGAAGCGGCCCAGCCCACCCCTGCGCCCGTCACCAACCCCCCTCCCCCCGCGCGGGACGTATAAAAGCGACGGCCGCTGGCGTCCCTCCTCAACCCTAACCCTAAATCATTTCCTCTCTCCCGGCTCCCCCACCTCTCGCCGCTCTCGCGCTCGCGCCTCGCGGTCTCACCTAGCTCTTCCTCCTCAACCCTAACCCTAAATCATTTCCTCCCAGCTGGCCAGCTTCCCCACCGGCCACCGCCTCACCGCTCTCGCCTCTCGCGGTCTCGCCTAGCTCTCGTCTCAACCACTCGACGATCAACACCTCACCGTCTCGTCTGCAGTCTGCTGGCGTCCGACCTCGCCGACTCCGACTCCGCCTCCGCCTGTCATGGGCAACCTCCCTGATCCCCTCCCTCTCTGCCTCTCCCATCTTTGTCTCCCTATCTCCCCACTAGATCTCGGTGATTATGTGAGTTCGTTGTCCCTGTCTGTCCCTCCTTTGTCGCTCGCCATCCTTGCTAGCCGGTGTGTCGTCTTCTCTGGGTGGTCGTCGTCTTCTCCGGCACCGGGCTCCGATTGCGCAGGTAAAACCCTAACCCTAATCCTAACCCTCCTCTTCTATCTTCTTCCATTGATGTATTCTGATGTGATATTTTCATCCTCCTCCATCTCTTTGCGCAGGCCGATAGCCGATGCATCATCCTCTAGCTATGACATAGAGCGACCAAGACGGCCCCGCGCACCATTGAGGAACAGTCATGGAGAGCCGTCCGCCATGACGGCGGCTGATGACGATATCGTCTAGCCGCTCACCGGCAACGACGACTTGATCGCGGCAGGCCTAGCCCCTGAGGACAACGACGACACCGAGAGAGGACGCTGCTGCGTTGTTTGGTATCGATGTTAGTAATGGCTCTGCTGCTCCGACTTCGATCGATCTGACGACGATGGTGGTGAAGGGGCGGCGATGACTAGGAACCCACTAGGCTCCAACTCCAACAGCTCTGCTCCATCTGTTACTGGTAACTCTAATGTTGGTAAGCGTAAATCACCTGTGTTGGCTGATTTTGATGAGATATATGAGACTGTGAATGGTAGGAAGATTTGCACTAAAACTATATGTAAAATGTGTAAGCAAACCTTGTCTGCTAGATCTAATGCCGGCACTGACCACTTGAAGAGGCACCAGAAATCTTGTAGGTAGAAAACTGATCAACGTGCTAAGGTTCAATCTAGGCTTGGCTTAAATATGGATGTTAGATGGAATGGTACATATCTTATGCTTAAGCACTTGGTTCTATATAAGCATGTTTTTTCTGTGTTCATTAATTACAATGTTCATTAATTACAATTATAGGCTCTAGAACTATTTTAATTATTTTTCTGTGTCTACTATCCAACTAGCATTGCTATATAGAAATTGAAAAAGATATTGCGCTTTCTAAAACTATTTTATAACTCCATATTCATTGTTTTTTGATCCTAAATCTAAGATGTCTTTACTATCCAACTAGTTCACTTATCCTGCATATTATGCCGCACCATCATTTAACAAATATGAGAGAAATTGCTTCTCATTTATATGCAAGTGAAAAAAAAAAGCGTCAAAATCTAATTGTTGTTGTATATCCTATGAAGCTTAAATTTCTAAAATATTGTCAATGATATACTTCTCCAATCATATAATCATTTGCATTCATTCTAATGATCCTAAATCTAAGATGATAATCGAGATTTATTTAGAGTCCTAAAAGGATTATTTAAAGAGAATACTAGGATGTGATTATAGACTCCATGATATTATGCTAATGTCTAAAGCTGAAATTTACCACATCTGCATTTGTTATTTAATTAGAATATGTTTAGAGAGCCAGAGTTTGATGCACAATCTAGACCCTAGGCGGACTCAAAGGGTCTTTGCATGGACCAAGCACCAGTGGTCTCAAGGCCTCAAGCAAACAAACCCTTAGTGTCTGTGTGAACTTGAGAGAAAAGTGTGAGACTTGAGAGTGATGTGTCATTATGGTATCTATGACTATGATCTCGTGAACTTCTGAAACAATCTTTAAAGACTTATAAGAGCCCCGCCTCTTTTTCTCTTTCTATTTCTCACAAGGATGAGTTTTTACATAGTTGGTCCTTCTCCTCCATTTCTTATCTTCATCTCTTTTGGTTCTTTTTATTGGATTTGCTAGTTGACCTTAGATTTTATATTTGTGATTTGGATTGATACGATGGATGAATGAATATGTCAAACGTGAATTTTGATGTTGGTTGAGATGATGATTTTGATTTACTTCTCCGGTGACGTGACCACAAATTTCTAGTGCCGTGCTTGGCCAAGGCTGATATCGTGGGGGCACAATCATATCTATAATGGGCCATAGAAATAGTTTGGTTTTTGTTATTGATGAAACCCTAAGTGCTAACCTAGTTTATCAAAGTTTATGAGATATGTACCACTACTCTAAGTGATGAAGCAATGGCGGAATCATGACGATGTGATTGGTGATGATCAAATGCTTAAACTTGAAAAAAAAAGATAATCGAAGAGGCAAAGGTAAAAATTATAGGAGCCATTTTGTTTTAGTGATCGAGAGCACTTAGCGAGTTTGATCACATTTAGGATCGATAGTCGTACTATTAAGAGGGGTGCGCATTGAAATACGGTTATTAAAGTGCCACTAGATGCTCTAACTCATTGCATATGCATTTAGGATCTAGTGGAATGCTAACACCCTTAAAAATTTTGGAAAGTTAGAAGAAAGAATACACTTGGTGGTTAGCACATTTAAGCAAGGATAGATGTTGACAATGCCAAGAGTTAAAAGACTCCATGAATCTCTCTCTTGTTGGACTATCTTGATGAAGATGCATCTAGGGTGAGGACCAAATTTTCGCGATGCTTCATCGCCCCGGCACGACGACGCCGACGTGAGGCACACAAAGGAGATCCGGTCGAGCATGACCCGACACGTCCGGTCGTGAAATGTGGCGTTGGAACACGAAAACGACGGACGCCGGATCTCGCGTCCGTGGGTCACTTTCTAATCGACATTTCTTGACCGTTTGAAAGCTCTAGTTTGGTTTTGGTGAATTGATGAAACCCTAAGTGCGAACCTAGTTTATCAAGTGATCATGAGATAGGTAGCACACTCCAAGTGATGAAGCAAATGAAGATCATAGCATGATGATGATGATCCCATGATGATGATCAAGTGCTTGGACTTAGAAAGAAAAAAGAGAAAAACAAAAAGCTCAAGGCAAAGGTATAAACCATAGGAGCTATTTTGTTTTGGTGATCAAGACGCTTAGAGAGTGTGATCACATTCAGGATTGATAGCCGTACTATTAAGAGGGGTGAAACTCGTATCAGAATGCGATTATCAAAGTGCCACTAGATGCTCTAACCCATTACATATACATTTAGGATCTAGTGGAGTGCTAACACCCTTGAAAATGTTTGTGAAAATATGCTAACACTTGTGCATAAGGTGATACATTTGGTGGTGTTGGCACATTTACAAAGGATGTGGTGTTTGCAGGGTTGAGATGGGTTTGGGTCCCTCTCTCCCTCCCGCCGAGCTTACGCCGGATGCAAATTCTTGTGGTTGGCACATTGGAGCAAGGGTGAAGAAGTTAGAAGTAAAAACGAGTTGATCGCGAAGACGCTACGTCGGTCTCACCGACCGGACTGGTCTCGTGCAGCACCGGCACCGGGCGGCGCCGTCAAACTAATGGGTCTCTGCCAGCATCGAGGGTATTGCACCGGACGCTGATCTGTCCGGTCAAGGTGGACCGGACGCGTCCGGTCGAAGAAATACGCCTCGGGAGCTTATCGAAACACGCGGATGCTAGGGCTTCATCGGCCGACTGAGCGTCCGGTCAACTACGTCCGCGCTTGAAGCCAATGACTCGTTCACGGACGGCCGAGGTCCGATGTCCCCGTCATGAATGAAGGGGTATAATGGTTTGAAGGGGTACAATTTCTTTGGGGCTCTATTTATAGCCCCATGGGTGCTCAAGCTCACTCTCTTGCATTTTTCATTAACATAGCAACCTTGTGAGCTTAGCCAAAGTCCTCCCACTCATCTCCATCATTGATCCATCATCATTGTGAGATTGGGAGAGAATCCAAGTGCGTTGCTTGAGTGATTGCATCTAGAGGCACTTGGTATTTGTGTTGCGTTGTGGATTTCGCTTGTTTCTCTTGGTGGTTGCCATCACCTAGACGGTTGGAGCAGCGGTTGAGGATTGGCACGAGTTGGTGATTGTTCATGGCCATCTCCGGTGATTGTAAGGGGAGTTGTACCTTC